ACCATCCACGTGGGCCCTGCGGCACAGCGCCCGCTAGTGGCTGACTGAGGCCAGTGCGCACTGTGGGGAGAGCGCCCCCTACTGAGCATCCATGTGCTCCCTGCGGCACATCGCCCCCAGTGGCTAACTGAGGCCAGTGCTCACTGTGGGGAGAGCGCCTCCTACTGAGCCTCCACCAGCTCCCTGCAGCACAGCGCCCCCTAGTGACTAACTGAGCATTTAGCCCAGTGCTGGCTGAGGAGAGCGCCCCCCCCCCACTGAGCTTTCAGCCCCCCCCCCCCCCCCACTGAGCCCCCAGCTGCTCCCTGCAGCACAGTGCCTCTTAGTGGCTAACTGAGGCCAGTGCTCACTGTGGGGAGAGCGCCTCCTACTGAGCCTCCACCAGCTCCCTGCAGCACAGTGTCCCCTAGCACTGGGCTGGGACATTGGGGCCAGCACTGACTATAAGGGCACTACTGCCCTTGCTGAGCTTCTGCCTGCTCCCTGCAGCGCAGTGCCCCCTAGTGGCTAACTGAGGCATTGAGACCAGTGCTGATTATGGGGAGAGCGCCCCCTACTGAGCTTCCAGCTGCTCCCTGCAGCACAGCGCCCCCTAGTGCCACTTTGGGACTTGAGGGTCCTATTGGGCATCCCCTTTTGGGTGGCCATCACTGTGGCCTGCAGTGCCCTGGGCATCTCCCATCCGAGCGCAGGCTGGTCCCCAAAGCACCAGCGTCCTGTTAGACCCTTCTGGGCCTAGCCGGGCAGTGTCCCGCAGGTGGGAGGCGGTTGTCCTGCAGGGGCGACATCGATCTCACCGAGGGAGAACCCAGCTGGTTCTGGGGACGGAACTTGGTCTCCATGTAGCTGGAAGGAGCTCAGCTCGCAGACGCTGGCGCCCCTCGGGGATCAGGGTTGGGAGCAGGAATTTGACACGCTTTGTCCCGGGTAGGATTTCATGTCTGGTACACAGTATGTGGGGGGGAGAGTCCTGATTGGGTCAGGCCAACCCTGCCTGGTGCCAGTGCCAAATCACAGGCCCCTTTCCCCTTCCTAGGGCAAGCGTCACTTAGGATCTCCGTGTCCAACAGCCAGATCGAGGAGAACGTGGTGAGTATAAGCTCCCGCTCCCGGTCTCTGTGTATAGAGAGGAAACGTGAGCAAACGGGCCAGGAGGAGTACAAAAGAATAACACAAAACCAGAGAAGCCCAGGGCACAAAACGAGCTACATTCCGCAAGCGACAGAAAGGGAGCTAAGGAGAAGCTGCACAGTTACCCCCGGAGCAAGAGAAAGGGAAAAGGAGAGTGCAGGCCCGCTACTCAGCCGGGAAGGAGCACTAAAAACGGGGGCATCGGGAAGACGGCGGCTCGCCTGCCTGTTTTGCTTCAGTGGTTTCGGAAAAGGTTAATTTGCAACCAGGCACTTAACAGCAAGAAGAAAAGGGAAGCGGAACAAGCCCAAATAGGGGAAAAATCAGGTAGGGCTATTCTAGTCATCGGGTGAAATGCCCCCGGTGGTACTTACGGAACTAGCTACAGCAAAATCGTGGAACGGTTGACAAATATCTTCAAAGCCCGTGGAGTGCAGGTGAGGTCTGTGTGTCTGTCCGGGTGTTCAAGGACTCCTCACTGGTAAGTGTGAGGACCACCAAATTCATTACACAGCTTCCTCTGATCATCACTTGAAGCATAGTCAGGGTTTGGCTGTGCCAGGACAATGGGACACGCCTGGAATGAGATTGCGTCTCAGAAAAGCATACAGAAAAGAGACAGAATCACCAGGCAGGGGAAAGGGGCTGGCGAGGGGTGTGCCCCCCCCATCCAGGACTGCCCCCTCCTTGAGCCTCCCACCCTGTAGATGTCCTTTAGGAATGGTGGGAGGGCTGAAGCCCCCCCCCCCCCAATTCATAGGGGAACATTGCTGGCTGCCCCTTCGGCAGGGAGCGAAAGGAAAGTGCACAGTTTGCTGCATTCCTCACTCTGGCTGGGAGCCCACGGAGCAGATGAACCTGGACTTGCCCAAACCGGAGGACATGCACCCCGGCTGTGCCCGTTGGAGCTGTGTCAGCCATGGAGAGGGGCTTCTCACATGGCCCCAAGCTGCTGCGGTGGGCTGGAGTCGCCCTCTCTGCCCAGGGCAGCCTGCACCCTGAACCCCTCATCCCCAGCCTCACCCCAGAGCAACGATTTACATGAAGCCTGGACGTTTTCATTTTATTTTTCAAAATCCCCTTTCAGCCGGCTGGTGGTGATGTCTCTTTTCTGTGTGGTTTGAAGAGACGCGGTCCCATTCCTGGCACATCCCCATTGTCCTGGCACAAACAAACCCATCCCTTGCTTTAAGTTACGCTAAGAGAAAGCTGCCTGCAAATTTGGTGATCCTAGCTCTTACTGTGTAGGAGGAGTTCTCAGGCAGATGGACAGGCAGACAAACTCAAATATAGAGTAGATTATCTATCCCTTCCGTAAGGGTGCGAAATAAGCGACGCAAATTCTGAGCTACGTCAATTGCGTATCTTATTTCGAAATAGGGAGTGTCTACACAGCACTTATTTTAAAATCGAGCACTCTTCCTCTGACTTCTCTTATTCCCCGTACCATGAGGGTTACAGGAGTTGGAATAAGAAGTCCTCCAGCTGGACAGTATTTTGACACGATTTCGAAATAACTGCCTGCTGTGTAGACATGGAATAAGTTATTTCGGAATAGCGTTGTAGTGTAGACGCATCCTAACAGAGCCTAGCAGTCTGTTTGCTTTCTTAACTACGGCTGCTGCACATTGAGCGGATGTTTTCCAGGAACTATCCACATTGACTCCGAGATCTCTCTTGGCCGGTAATTGCTAATGTAACCCACACACCTAGGCTACATCTAGTCTACATCTCTTTTTCGGAAAAGGGATGTAAATTAGACGTATCGCAATTGCTAATGAAGCAGGGATTTAAATCTCCCGTGCTTCATTAGCTTAAAAATGGCCGCCGCTTTTTTTCAGCACGGAGCTTTGCCGGAAAAAAGTGCCAGTCTAGACACTGATCTTGCGGAAAATAAAGCCTTTTCCGAAAGATCCCTTATCCCTCTATGAAATAAGGGATAAGGGATCTCGGAAAATAAAGCCTTTTCCGAAAGATCCCTTATCCCTTATTTCAAGAGGGATAAGGAATCTTTCGGAAAAGGCTTTATTTTCCGAAAGATCAGCATCTAGACTGGTGCGTTTCTCCGGCAAAGCTCTGTACCGAAGAAAAAAGGCAGCCATTTTTATGCTAATGAAGCACGGGAGATTTAAATCCCCGCTTCATTAGCAATTGCGATACGTCTAATTTACATCCCTTTTCCGAAAAAGGGATGTAGTCTGGACATAGACCTAGTGTGGTTACTGAGTACTGCAAGTGGCACCTAGACCACTGGAACAGTTAAGATCAAGAGACCTCTACAGCATGGGCTGGGAGCCAGCTGGTTTTTTAGCTCAGCAGGTAGAGGCTCCTAGAGTCAGCTCCCGAGGTCCCAGGTTCTGGTCCTGTCCACCAGGGGGCAGCTAGCTTCCCTGGCCCCGCCCACTTCTGCCTGAGGCTCCTCCCCTTTGTGCCCCCCCTACCTTGCCTGGGTCCTGCGGTGGCTGTCGGCTCCGCTGGTGATCTACCACAGTTAGTTCTGCAATTTCATAATTGTGTTCCTTCAAAACTTGTGGTCCTGGGACTTGTTATTGTTTAATTAACCAGTTTGTTCCAAAAGTTCCTCTACAGACACCTCAGTCCGGCACTCTGTCCTCTGTGCCCCACCCCTCCTCTATGCCCCGCCCCTCCACGTGGTGGACCCCCCCCCCCCCGGGGGAGGGACACGACCCTCT